GGATTTCTATTCAAAGCGAGTCGATGTTTCACAAATTATCTGACCGCGAATTGTGATGTAAAATAAAGTTGCCTATATTCTTCCGCAACCCCGGAGTAAGAGCGCTTAAAATCACCCACCCACCCCCCCCCCCTGCAACCAGGCCTTACATTTTGTTTTGACCGCATTTCACAATCTTGATCGAGCAGAAAATGACAGGTGCCAATCAGGCAACCTCATATCACTGATTTCATCGTGTTCATTTTACACAATCGGTCTTTCCTGTAAAAAACCGTAGGCCGTTCTGACCAAAATCCCTGGATGTTTCCGTCGCAAAATTTTTAAGTAATGGCTCAATCTGAACTGTTTGGGGCCTTGTATTACTGTCGGTTTTATCTTTGCATCTCACTCTATGCACGGAATTTTGACCCAAAAAGCTTAATCTTAACATCATGTTGCTGACAGTAAATAATATGATAAATTGCGGCGACACAGTCAATACTTCTACTTAGATTTCAGAAGGAATCACATAGGTAGCTTCTTATACTAAATGTACGATTTAGGCCTTTATAAATAAGGAACCCAAATAAAAACACGTTAGGGTGATTTTGAATTTTCATAACTGCGGTCTGCATCAGTGATTGCCTAACATCATTTTGAACACTGGGCTGATCTTCATTTACCAGCTAAGCCGTGACACAGCGGTTACAAAGCGTTCCAATGTCTAAGATTAAGCCTTTCTACAAAATATGTTTTTTGCTCTTTCTACCATGTGGCGTTCTTGAGTGTTGCACACGCCATTTGAGATATCAGGCATGTGGGGAATGTAACTAAAGACGTGCTGACCGAACGTTGGCGCTCACCTCACGGTCAAGCATGACTACGGACTCATCCATCGGAGTGCTCAATCACTCCGGCATCTGCGTACACTAGCTAAAATTCTCAATGTTAACGCTTCCAGTCAGACTTCTGACCGCAGGCGCAGAAACCTTCGTAGATCCTATCATCCAGGCAAAGTTTTTAATTTGTTTATCAAAAACTGCAACAGAAGACCGTCGGTATATGGGCAGTAAGCCTTCTTGAACGATATGATTCCGCTAAATGGATCGATCAGGTGTAATTTTTAATCATTGTACTATTCGTTGCTATGAGCGCTTCTGGTAATATATTTAAAAGCCTTAGCGAAATGGAAAGTCTGTCGACATTTGTCCATTGTGCTGTTCCATTTCTCGCACTTTCAATAACAGATGCATCAAATGTTTACCGGACTTTTGATTTTAAACGGTCGAAATCATCTGCATGTTAAAAAATGCGACCCACCTACGAGACGCTTACCCGTTAGTCAAGGTTAGACACTTCCAATAGGCGAACAGCTTCCGTTTTGTATGACGACTTGGTAGCCTTATGCATGTCATGACGTCCGCCTTAAGGGATTTCCATCTTTCTTGGATGACACGGAATCGTCAAATTATTAGACTTATAAATTCACAAGGCGAATTTCGACAAACTGGCAAGCTCCGAATCATGTTGAACACGACCAGCAGTTGCGCATGGCCTTACGGTTTTCAAACTGCCCCTGTCAACTAAACCGTACATCTCCGTCTTAAAATGATAATGTAATTATTGGGGTTTAAGCAGTTTGCAATAAATATAGATCATGTCGTGTGCTTTAAAACAGCACTGACATACGGGCACAAATGATAAAATTTGAATAATGTGTGCAAAGTATAAAATATGGTTATGCGAGAAGACATTTTGTAAAGAGTATATATATTTTCTATTACATGTGTTAAAAACGAAGTTTAATGTATAAGCTTTCTAGACAATGAATGGTAATATGTAGAAACGCACAAAAACTAGTAGTCATTTTTGCAGATTGTGGTTTAAGGGGGTGGCTAGATGTAGGCAAGTACAAATTCCAGTGCCCTGATATTTGGAGATTGTGATGTCACACAGTGCATTTTCGGTTAACATCACTTGACACTAGATATCGTAGTCCATTGCGGGATTATATTGTTGCGGTTAATCTGGATTCGGTCTAAGGTCAACTTCTGCATATCATCAGTCATGGTAGTTCGAAAGAATTCTCGCTCTGCGGTGGAGTCTATCAGTGCATATTGTTACAGCATTTACATAGATATTGACATTTTAATTTCAATGCGGTTCTGTCTTTTCCCCAGATAACAAACGTTCGCTTTGTTTTAAACAAATTTCGCAGACAAACATTGCGTTTTACAGAAACAGGTCTACTTCCTACGAAGTACTGAACGGTCGTGAACGACTGCTTCCGTCTGCGGCATACGATAAAATAGAAGGGGACAGCACAGGCGGGTTCTGCGTTGAGCATGGTGAGGGCATGGGAGGTGGGCTAAGTTGCAGTATAATACCGCCCACAAGGACAACATTGTGTGTGTGAGGATTTGGCCAAGCCGTAGGAAAGAGAACGAGCTAGATATCAAATCCAGCGTGTTTGATAAAACCCTATAGAACATTATTGAGACGGTCTTATTTAACAGTCCTTTCGCAAAAAGCGTTATTGATGCGGAGCATCCTTGCATGTCTATATCAGGCCCGGTGATCCCAAATAAAGGGTTGTTCAAATAGTGATCGGGTGTTTCTGGCCACTGGACGTTTGGCTAAATGAAGCATCGCAAGGACAGTAGTCGAATTCATGCCGTGGAACACAGAATTTTGAAAGTTATTAGTATGGTCCTTTAGTGTACATGCATATGCACAGTGTTTAGAGAGTTCATAGAAAAAATGCATAGCACATGTTAGGCTACCCTTGGAATTTACGGAATCACGGAAATTGTGTGAATTCTGCTGTTGCGAATGAAAGATCAGTTTAACGACAACCTTCGGAAACCCCGACTAATTTTCAGTTAGTTCCTTCACTAATGGTGCCCCTATAAATTGACAGTAAATATGCATGTAGTAACATTTTCGATTTCGCCTTCGGCACCACTGCATGTATTGTAAAAAAGATAAAAAATTGCGGCCGCTGTCATATCGTTCTTGCAAAAAATAATAATAAGAATTAGTGCTGAATAACTTGAGTCATCGACTATTTTCGATACAAATGCTTAGTTGGTTCGTACTCAACAGACAGCTCTCAAGGAAGCGGCTCTGTGCAAAGACGTCGGGAAATGCTAGAATAGATGTGCATTGTGATGACAAAGGGATATTTCTTGTATAGATTGGTCACTGAACTAACGGATATTGCTGCAAACTACGGCACATGAGTAAGTTCGCGTTTGCTCTGTTTGCTTCTTCTATAATCTGAACCTACCGGTCTACCGTAATCAAATCTCCCTTTCCTCTTATTGTCGAACATTATATCTCATTATTTGTTGTGCTCATAGACCCGTATAATGCGTTAAAATCGCACCATACTACCGTCATAATAGTTCTGGCGCGCACTGTCAGCGGTTGCCTCAAGTATTATTGGAAATGAAACGAGAAAATTAATCGGGACTCAATTTCATGTAAACAAAATAAGTTTCACTTTCCATCTAACGAAAATAGCAATGGGTATGGTCATGTGATGAGCCTGTACGATGAACAGAGATCAAATTCCGGTAGGAGAACAGATACAGTCAAATTATATCAACAGAGATGCGGACATTGCGGTCGCTCTATATGAAGGCTGGCTGTAGAAGTCTCAAGCGTGGCCTGTTGTTTGCAGTCTCTTGGTACAGGTTGCATTGCATTTTCTACCTGCCAGACATCTCTAAATGATCAAGAGTCCTACATCTCTTAAATAAATGTTTGTCTGATTCTCCGCCAAAACAAACTCTACGACGCGCAGATGTGATTGTCATCGTTTTATTCACACTTAGTAACCCTTAGTACAACGATGTATGAGGGCGCCATCTCTCTATTGGCGTATAATGGTGGAACGTCTTTGTATTGTTTTATCACACGCTTATAAAGAATCGCATTTTTATTTATTCATATCTCTATATTAATGGCCCGTTGCAATGATCCATAGGCATCATGCTTAGTTACTTACACTGCAACTACCATCAAAGAGCAATTGCCAACGTACTTACACGTAAGTATTCTGTTGGTCCTATTTCGAAATGTGGTGACGCATCACACATTTGGAATGATCGTGTCTACTTAATGTGTTGGCCCTTACAAATGACCTGTGTTAGAGCATTTAACTTACTATTTACCTTATCAAAATGGCCTACCCGCAACGTTATTCGAACGTAAAGCATATTTTACTTTCATTCCCTGATGTGCGTTTTAGTAAAAGAGATATGTCTTTGACTTCCCAACAGGAGTTTTTGATGTAAACTACGGTGGTTCGGCCAACCCACATTTCAGAACCCTTGGTATTGATTGCTGTTTCAGATGCCGCTGACTAATGAGGTTGTTGTAGATATAGTGACCATCGCTTATTATAATTTCCCTTGTTTTAAGTATTTAGTGATGATTTGTACCTCAGCAACCGGCGATTTTGACAAAAAGATCCGCGCTGACTTATAAGCATGATATTAACCGAAAATTATAGTAATCTGCCTAAACGCACTATCGTCTAGCGTTACTTACGTAAGCTAGACTAATTTAGATAGTTTCAGCATTCACGTGGACGAAAAAATGAGCGTTTTACAAATGCAGTAGTCGAAACAGACGTTCGGTTGATAATTAGGCAAATCAAATCAATGTCTTGTAAAGCGTAATGGTAATTGCATATCATTACACGTTTTAATTATTTAAATAAAACTCTTGACTACGCCACCCGACATTGTCTGAAGGGGGATATTTAGGAAGCTCTGGTAATCTTTACTGTCTTTATGAACTGTGCGCACTCGTGTCTACGCCACCTGCGAGATGTATGCACAATGGGCATGCAAAAATCGTTAAGCGAGTGAAAAGTAGGCACTGTCGCGGCTTAACCTGTGACCGTTTTCAATATGCCATTTTCTCATTCGTTACCATGGAATAAGGCGACAACTATAAATAAGACGGCAAAGGAGAGCATTTAGCAGGTTATTTGATTTAAGGTGAAAAGCATGAGTGTCATCTACCTCCATGCTGGGATGCTTGTCGTCCAGATCTTGTCTGCCATAATTGGCGATACAATCATTCTATCTTACACGAAAGCGAAGGCCGACCAAGCGCAGAATGAGGACTTTGCTTCGCAGGATAGAGAAGCAAAGGAAAATTATGAAGTTCACAACATCTACGAAGAGAAGGATGAAGGAGAGGATGAAATGTTGAATGATGTTGATGAGACCGGGCAGGAAAACGTCAAATATAATGATGACGACGACAGTTCAGACGAAGAGGACGTTGATGGTGTTGATCATCATGGTGGGCATAATCATGAACATGATGATGAGGAAGAAAAATATGGAGAAAAGGAAGATGTTACTGACGATATGGATGAACATCATTTCAGTAATGCTGGTTTTGAGGTTGACGTCGCAGTTCACGTCGGTGGACACCATGGGGCTGACGAAAATTATTTTGGTAGAGATGGTGAATATGATGTCGACGTGGATGATAATAGGGATGACGACAATGACGATAAGGATGATTTTGGCATAGGCGAGGACGAAAAGGAACATGAGGATGATTGAAAGTAGGGAAAAATATGGAAAAGATAGATTGGTAACTGTCATTCCTTCTCACCGTCGTTGTCGGAGTGGGTTCTGTGTAGGTTCAGAAAGATTCTCTTTTAATTTTGCTTGAATAAGATTCATTATACGTTCTACGCACTTCAACGTTTCCTTTATATCGGGGGGAAATTAAGAAAAACCAATTCAATTGAGTCGATGTTTGCAGTTCAAGCCGTATGCTAAACCCAACTGCAGGCAAGGTAATATGACGGATTTTATTTTTCAACAGTAATCAGAAAATCATACGTTCAGGAGTTATGCTTCTCAGCTAGGCTAGTGGCTTGCGAAATTAAACTCGCACGGCGGTGTTCCGAGAATGCGTTAGCTGATGATAGTGGTGAGTATGCGATAAAAATTATCAATGTCTAATTTGAAAGTGGCTGGTCATTTTGGAGGGGTCACAACATCACATATAACTTCGGCTGGGAAAATATGCAAATATAGTATGACTGATAAGGTAGGCAATAGTCGCCGGTTTGGTTCAGTGCGAAAATAGTTTAGAAAACGTCCGAGAGGAAAAAAATCTAAGGCATGACATACGATATATTAAAAGAGAAAGGGTCATATCGGTAAAGAAGAGAGTCCTCATGATCTCATGTCCACATTACAGTATTCGGTATGTAAATACTCGAATTATAAGATGGAAAAAAAGGTATGCGTTGGTTAAAATTATTAAGTAGACTCATATCAGTAGTGAAAATGTGACAGGACATCCAACTATGCGATACAGTGATATGCGGCTCAATACAGTCACTCACTTTGGATTAAGTCCGGAAGGATAAACTGCATTAGCTTGCTGTATCACAGCACATAGGGCAACAAAACCTTAGGGGAGTTCGTCAGTCAATTAGTTTTATATGTTTCACGTTGCTATTCAAAGCTGCTATGCAAAATGTTAAATTTGATTTATGCAGGATATACCTCTCAGTACTGTCTGGAAATGCTACGCACTGAACGCCCTTTCTTAACTCATGTCATGCGCTTACGATGTTGCTTTTTTTCGGAACTTCGGTGTGCGTACCATTTGTGAGTTGTAGGCACACGCTGGCATGAATGTAGTTTCTACGGAGTCGATCGACACGGTTGCATTGACATATCCAACCTATCGATAAAATTGCTACTGGCAATATGAACCCTGATTTTTTAATTAAATATTCGCAGTGGTTAGTAAATAGCGCCAAAATTCGTGTGACCTGGCTCTTGAAAAAAATTTAAATAATAGTTGCCTTCTTATAGTTTCGTACTTTCATCTGTGTAATATTCGAAATGGCACACCATAACACACGCGGGATCTTAGCCCTACAGAGTGTTACGTGTTGGCGCTGCTGTGCTAACTGTAAATGAAATAGTCGACTGTTAAACTGTGGAATGAAATTTCAGCTGTCCTTACGTAATGCATTATTTAACCGGTTATAATTCATTACGCAGTATGAAAATAGGTGATGTTGGTTCCGAATTTTATCTTAAATACCGGAGGTTTAACGTCAAATTTGCAATGCTGAAATATCATCACAAGCAGGCGTAATATAAGTCTGGACAGCAACTTACTAACTTCTTCAGCTCCTGAAGTTCTGTGTGATGAGTAAATTTGGACTCAACAGAACAATTTATAAGCGAGCGTGTGGCACACCAATCGTTTCACCGACTTTAGGACTCATAGCCGAGGCGGTCCCACAACGGTTATAGCTCAAGGACTTTCAACTCCAAAGGCCCAATTGTGGGCTCAGAATGTGGACGATAGCGTCATAGTCGTCGTCGTCGTCGTCATCAAACGGCTTCGAGTGCTGATATTCAAAGTACGCCTCCATGCCGTCTTTTTAAGCATTTAACGTAAGATTGGGAAGAACAACAACAAGGGCAGTTGCGCATAAACAGTTAGCCGACACGTTTTTACGCGTTGAAGTGAAGCGGAGGACGAGGTTGCGTACCTGCGAGCTAATTTTACTCGTGAGACTTTGTCAGACGGTTCATATCCAAGGCAGCTCAGAGAAAAAAATAATCGCCCCTAAATTTTGGCTGAATATTTTACCAGTCGTGTTTGCATTCCAATTGATGTTGGGGTTGCACATGGGTCGGAAGCAGTAATCCAAATTAACTTCATGAGGCAAAAAGACACGCTGCCACGGCTGCAAACGTCAGGAGTCGTTTGCCGTATATAATGTGGTTGTGGACAAAGTACCCACATCGAAAAACTGACAGATTTCTCGCGACGTGAACTGCCGAGCACGCAGCAAGTGCGAGGTGTGAGATTATAGCTCTACTATGAATGCTCATATGATGGGATCCGGCCATATTTCTGAGTTTTAGGAGGAATTAATACGTGCAATGTGTGATACCCGCCTTAGGCGCGAGTTGCTGAGATCATGATTCTCCGGTGCAATCCATCAACTAGCGCAATAACCTCCCGTTACCATATACTGTGCTGAGATTTCCCCTGTGCAGCGGAATCAGTAGCGTGGGGAAGTCGCAGGCAGGCAATTATCAAGGCGACAGCATTCCAAATTGACGAAAATTATTCACACCGACACCCAACAACGACAACGAAGTCGTGAAAATTATCAAATAGAACATGAACAGACAAGCCAACATCGCATCCGTTTACTCACCTAGCGGTGATTGCGAGAGCTGTTACTTAAAGGACACATACTGTTCTATCGCAGCTGCGTACTACCAATACTGCATTACTCGTGCCATCATTACCCTCATCTGATGATGGTTTCAAGTGAAAATTCGAAACATGAGGCCAGCACTTTCGTGTTTAAGATGTTGGACGCAGTAAATTTTCAAGTGGCGTGACACGACAGTGCTTCTATCACTCCTATTAGATATCTTGAAATAGTTAACGGAGGTCTCCCTCCGAAAAAACTGTGGCAAACGCCAATTCAAGAAAAGTCGTTTTTCTTCGGTTAAACTGACTTACGATTTTGCCTGTAAGATGAGATAGCACCTCTCCTGCCGTAACGCCCAGATATAAAAACGTTTAAATTCCCTTCGCCCTGTATTTGAGCGTTGCTTGCGTTTTGTCCTCACTTCAAAATCCTGCTCGTGCATAAAATAACAGCCGTCAATCAGGTAACCACACATGATTGATTTTAACGTCCACATTTTGCAAAAATATGCCATTCATGTGAAGTGCATAGATCGCTATGGTCAATTTGCCTGGGATATTTCCGCTGCGAAACTTAAAATAATCAAGTTGCAATCACTTGGGTACTTGTATTACTATTGGGTTTTATCACTGCTCCTTACATTACAGCCGGGATTGTGTGCAAAAAAACGTCCATTTTCTCACTCAAAATAAATTGATAGAAGGTGACATCCAAATAAATATTTCTGCTCAGATTTTCCAGAGGAAATGGCATTCATAGCTGCTAATTCCTTTTGTAGGATTTTAACGTTTAAAAATTAGAAAACTAAAAAAATTGATTTCGATTTAAAATCCAGGCATCCGACATACTGTGTTAATAAAGACATTTGGAATTTTTCTGCTGAGTAAGCAGTTATATGTCAGCCTGCGTAACAGGTTACAAACATAAACTTTAAAGCAGCCAACTAGTTTTTGCATCGGGATAAACCTTTTCAGGGATATCAATGACGACGGTTTACAAAATAAGAAGACCATAATATTAATCTGCGGCGTTTTCCATTAAGTTTAGTGGAAGGCGTGTTTCCGTCTTTATACAACAATTCATTTCCTGCAGGACAAAAGAAGCGAGTTTTAAGCTTTATCTATGTCCAGCCGCGTTGTTTATCCGTCCAAATGAATTTGATTTTAGATACCTCTTGTCATAAAGCATAGGCGGCCGTTTATAATTATTTATCAATACAGTAAATCACTTATTGCCATAAATATCCATACGCGTTTCTGGCCACATTGCGTCTTTTTTCATTTGGAAATCTTTTTTTGAAATTAAAGGATGCATATGTCGACCATGCCCTGTCAATTTTATCTTTCCATCATGTAGTACTTGGCCGTTTGATTACACACATGTCCTCAGAGTTGGACACTTGTCCCAATTACTTCTTAATTTGTCACGTTTTCAAACTACTGACTGAAAGTGATTACTCATAATATTTATGTGCCTTTTTAAGCCGCCGACGTTCTACTGTAATTAATCAGCAAAACAACATGACTTATTTCATAATAAGCTAAAAAATTAACTTATCCTGTATACTGAATATGTCAGCAGGGCTTCGGTTTTGGTCACACATTTTTTCCAATCAAAAACCAATTCAATCACATCCATCACTAAAAGTTATGATTTCATCATTCTTCCTTGTTGTGCTAACTTGAATGGAAGAAAAGACAGTTACTAGATGGGTTTCTTCCGTTGGTAGGACAAAGCGTGCAATGAGGTCCAATGAGGATGTTCCGTTCGGATGTTCCTTCAGTTCTACTCTCCATGTTGCCCAAAACTCTTCGTGACTTTGTTGTAGGCTAGCTATTTTAGCATGCATTCAGTAAAGCATTTGCCTAAGAACGGCTTAAATGCCAAGGATTGCGGTTCATTTTCTGAATTTCCTGTCTGGGATCGTTTCATTTTCCCCTCCCAGAGACGGCTGGAATGAAAGTGATCCAGTTTTCAGTTTTTTATTTCACACATACACACACTTTCCTCTATTGAAGAAGATCGTACCTAATTCTATCCTATATATCTTAAGTCTCTTATCGAGCCGAAGTCAAAAGTGATTTCACATTTTGTCCTTGTCTTGCCGACACATTAACTGGCTTTGTGGATTCTGTAGCCAACCTAATCATAGAATTCAATGAAACCGTACTGCCGATGTACGCAAACAAGTTCACTGATGAAATCTGTATATATGATACTTGATGTTAGACGCCGTTTAGTGTATAACCACCGTCTGCCGCATACCGGTGAGCAGTCTAATTTAGAGCTATCAGTTTCGAAGAGGTTAAAAGTTCGCAGAATGCAGCGCCTTATGCGCAATCACGTTCTAGC